TTACTGGATTGTAATGATATGATTGTAACCCACAAATTACTGGATTGTAATGATATGATTGTAACTCACATATTACAGTTTGACGCGTATAAGTAGCGTATAAGTAGCTCATTTGCATAGTACAGCGAGTGCACTTCTAAGTCCGAGTCAGTGTTTTCAATTGTCAGCAAATCTTGACAAAGATTTCTTTCGTTATCTTTTGTGCTGAGATGCTGCAACAACTTTTACCAACGCCGAAAGGACACTAACATCATGTGTGTTTCTTCAACATAGTGAAATTTTACCCTGCGAATTAACAAATTGACGTCAGTATTTTATGCGTCTGTCTTCTTATTGATGATAAATTGCGTCAGAACATTCTCAAAGTGGCTGTGGAACCACGAGCCGCAGGCAACAAGCACCTCAGATCAACAATAGTCATCATGAATATGGTACAACTTTGCATTTCCTTTGTTTATATGGAATCCACGTGAACCCTTATGGACTGAACAAACCAGAAAGCCATTTTTCAAATGTAATTCAGCTTTTTTAGAGTCTTTGGATGCCGATCTCCCCGGCTCATTTTGAAAATGAATTTGGTACCGTTCATTTAACATCTAAAGATACAAAAACGTATTTTAAATCATTACAATTTTTTCTGTTCCACGATCTATTCATCCTCGTGCCACACTAACATGTAAGACCTAACACAACTTAAGTTCGAGAAAGTGTCCAAAAAGCAAGGCTGTCTAAGTCATTAACAAGGCAGAGTCCCAACGAAAAATCTTTGTTTTAAATTTAGGTAAAGCTAGTTGTATTTCGGCTTTGACGGGAAATGCGAGATGTGACCACGTGACATTGTCTGTCCTTGCATAACTAGTGCCAGTCCTAGGCGTAGAGTCGCGTTTGTGGTGAAATGACACTCAAAATTATGACGAAAAAGATGTTCTGCTTTCCTCATCACCGTACAGTTAACATGAAAGGAACTCACTAAGAACCCAAGGGGAAATAAAGCGAGGGGTTTGCGAATAGCGGAACGCACGGGGAACGTGCGATGAAAGTTTTCATAGGCGATACAGGTTTGCTCTGAGCCAGAACAAAAACATTAAAAATATCAGGTTTTTGATTAGCCATCGTTATAAAATGTGTTTATTAGTCCATTGTTGCCTCTTATCTTTACAAAGTTTCGTGTTTATTTTGCTCTCGTTTGCACAAGGTTATCCACTGTTCTTTAAAGTCTTCGCATATTAATTACCAGCTTAAAACATAGGGCTTGACAAGTTGAAGGGAATGCTAGATGGGCTAATTTTACAGTAACCCAGGTTTGATCGCTAATCTTTAAAAGCGTTCAAGTAAAAAAGAAAATAAAAAAAAAACAGTGTTAAACAAAACCAATGTGAGTTGGACACCGGCATGGTATAAAGCAAACAAAATTAGCTCCCCGTCGGACGTTCAACCCATGTCTCCCTGAACTTCGCTCGGGTGCTTTTACTGCATGGAATGACAAAAACTACCTGGATACGGAGAATTCATAATGAACTCGGCCATTTATTAGGTTCATATTGGCACCTAGATGAAACCACGGTGAATTTGTGGGAAATGTCATAGCAAACTAATCGATAATCCATATGGAAACGGATATAACGCTCGACTAAATATGCCGGAGGAAATTGTAACGGAAGAGCAAACACGGGGGGTGGGGGAGACAGACGGCTTATGCACGGGTAACATCGGTAGGGAAACTACGGGTAAACCAATGGGGAAGCACACAGAGTTGCGCATTGAAGAACATACCTGGAAATACACAGGGAATGCAATGTGTAGTGGAGGAGTGGAGGAGTAATACGGGAGTATATAGCGGATGCCCTGGGAACCCAGGAAGAACTCACCACAGAAAATGTGAGAGCAAGGTGGAGGGGCACCATTTGTATATACCCCTAAGAATCATAAAATTATTCATTCTTCTCAGATTTATTTTTCATATACGATAGCCAGAAGCTTAAAGTTTTAAAGAACTATTGCTTTTAAGTAAAGGGTATCCTAATCTATCCCATTCTCTCCTTCCCGAGAATGAGGAAATACAAAGGAAATACTAGTTGAATTGTGACGGACAAGTTGCTTGGGGAACAGGGAAAGCACGGAGAACGTCAAGTAACCCGGGGGTGAATACACGGGGTTGCAAATAGCGGAGCACACAGGGAAGGAAATGCACGGGGAATAAGTGGGGAACACACTGAGGGATATAAAAGGTACCAGCCAGAGAGAGCTGGGTATAACGGATAAGAGAACCCACGAGAAAAGAAAAAACCTGCTGTGAACGTACGGGGAACGAAGAAATGCTCCCACCGCGAACCATAAACGAATACATAGAGTTGTTTACAGTGGAACTGCTTGAAAGTAAAGAAATGCATGAGAAAGCGCACTTGGAATTGCATAAGGGGACACGCAGGAGACACACTGTGTACAAAACAAGCGAACGCACGGGAGATAAACGAATAAACAAGGAACGTACATGCAGGAGGGCCCCACCCCGTGGG